AGGTTGCAGCCAGAATGGGGAGGACTGTGGACCAGGTAAAGATCTAGTCATTGATCTGGAAAAAAAAAAAAAAAAAAAGGCACGTGAAGCATGTAGAGCCATTGAAGGACTTTAGGCAGGACAGCGGCATAGTGAAGCTTTGAAAAAGGCCACGCTGGCCAGAAGCAGTGCAGGGAAAGGCCTGCAAGTTGCAGGACCAGCACAGAGAGGCGTTCTGGCCATTTCCACGGCAGTCTCAAGAGGGCTGCTGCAGCTCCAACTGAGACGCTGGCTGTGGATAAAGGCGGATGTGTGAGACCACCTGACAGACAGAATCAGCGGGGACAGACTGCATTTGGGGTAGATGAGGGTTTGCTGTCTCCACGGCAATATCCTAACAGGAGGACCACGGGAACAAGGTGTGACTTGGAGCTCCAGATTCAGGTTCTGTTTTTATTATGTCAAGATCCAGGTGCCATCTACATGGGAGCTTCAGGAAGGCAGTTGGCTGTGTGTTTCTGGAGCTGAGGAGAAAGCTCTAGAAGGAGATTTCAGTGTCTATGTCAGCTGCACACGGGAGTTCACGAAGCCAAGCTCCTGAATGAGGCGGCCAGAGGAGAGCTCCGCATGAGAAAGAGTGACAGCCAGAACTGAGTCACAGTTGCACCCCATGGACAGTAGCCGTGTGCAGTGCACAGAACAGGAGAGAATGGGGTCTGGAGGCCAAGACGGTGTGTCAGAAGGAGGGAATCGTTAGCAATGACAAAAGCTGCTGAGACCCTGGAAAAGAGAGACAACAAGAGAACTCCAAGGGTTGTACGGAGACATCATCCCGAAAATGCTGAAAAGTCAGTAGGCGACAGACTGTAGGGACATAGGGTTGCATGTGAAAACAATTGGGGTGAGTGAGGAAATGTCAACGCTTTTGAATATGTGAGAAGTAGGATTGGAGCTGTGCTTGGGAAGATCATGGTGGCTTGAAAGGAGAAGAAGCTAGGAATTTCATTCTCCGCGTTAATACTGCCATCTTGTAAGAAATAACGCGGTGTAGGACAAGGTTGGAGCAGTCCAAGAATGGATGGGAATGATCAAATCACAGCCACTAAGCTTGCGGGAACTGAATTAGGGGGTGACTCCACAGATATGGAAAGGAGAGCAGCTGGACTTAGTGTTGAATGGGCCATTACAGGGTGAAGGCACAGACAACTAAGAGACTGGCAGGAAGGAGAACAGAATCCATGCCCCTGTCAGAGCTGGATGGCCAGGGATTCTCTGCTGAGCCATTGTCAGGGGCAGCTGTTTCAGGCTCCAGTAGAATGTCACAATGTGGAGACACCCACCAGTCACTGTTACCTGAAGACCTGTGCTCAGGACACAGGGCAAGTGGGTGTGGGGCCGGCAGGGACTGCAGAGTTCACTCAGGGACACGTGTGGAATGCACAGAGGGGCTGTGGGAACACAGAGCCCCAGAGGAAAGGACAGTGGACAGCAGGAGTGAGCAGGAGACGCGGAGAAAAGGATGGATGAGGAATGGAGCCCTGTGGAGAAGGGCAAAGAGACTGCTTCCACCGTGGCTTTGCGGGGAGATGCCGGGCAAGGCTTCTGCAGTCCCCTGGGTTTGGAGGGCACAGTTTCCACTCATGTGTAGGAGGAGGAGCCAAATGGAAAGGGATGGAGACAGAGGAGGAGGGCAGAGGGGCAGCAGCTCAGGACCACACCATCTGAGGATGGAGAGAGGGCTGGGAACACGAACAGCCCCGGGGCTCAGCGCAGGCCGCCAAGGGAATTCTTCAGTTGTCTGCTTTGGCCACTACTATTTGTGTGTGTGAATATGTGTGTGTGTGTGTTTTCTGAGCTTTATTGAAGTATAACTAAAAAATAAAAATTGAGTATTTAAGGTGTACAAGGTCATGTTTTGATATAAACAGGCATTGTGAGATTATCAAGAACAAGCTAATCACCATATCCATCACCACATTTTTTGTAAGAATACTTGAAATCTACTCTATTAGCAAATTTCAAGGATATAGTGCAGCATTATTAACTATAGTCACCATGCCATGCATTAGGTCTTCATAATTTATCTAATAAGTAAAAGTTTCCTATCATGTTTTTCAATAAGAAAGATGTGTATGGAGAAGTCAAAATGGCCAATGAATGTGGAAAAAAGAACAAGATTAATGGCAGTGATTACCCGACATGCTAGTTAAGACACTGAAACATTGTCCATCTGTCAAAGTAGCAAATGCAACCAGTTTCTGCAGACACATCATTTGGGTTAAAGACAGGACTGCGTATCATAGGATGGCATTTTTCCCTGGCTCTGCGGCTGCTGCCATGGTGGCTCTCCCAGCCCCTGCTGTGGGCATGCCTGGAAGCGACCCCCAGCCTCCTCGCTTCCCTGTGGTGTGGGTCGCTTCCTCTAGAGCTGCAATTACATTTGAGCCAGAGTCAGACACAGAGGCTTCTGAGCCCTGAAGATGCTGCAGGATCTGCGGGGCTGCAGGAAGCTGCCTCAGAACCTGCTTGTGCAGGCGGGAAGGCAAGCTCAATGGCAACTCCATGATGTCTTAGAGATTTCCTCTAATGTCACAAAGGGAAGAAAGACCAAAAGTGCCATATTTGAGGTCCAGAAACAGAGCAAAGTGGGCACTGTAACTCAGGATGGGTCAAGGGACCTGGCCACTCACATATAGCTGAGAGGTGGCAGAGCCGAGATTTCATCCAGGCTGCCAAAACCCAAACACAGACCCTGCCTGCAGCACGCTCTGCCTCTCTAAGTCCACCCTGCCTAGGACTAGGAAGGCCGGGTGTCCTCCCACCCAAGGCAGGCAGTGGTGGGAGGAAGTCAGCGGAGAGACCAGGTGAGGGCCCCCAGCACAGCCACAGCACAGCCCATGTGAGCCTGTCGGACATCGACACATACCACGTGTCACCTTGTGCACAGTCAGCCCCCGAGCAAGGGCACAGCAGAGCACCTGGTCGCAGAGCAGTGTGGACAGGAGAGGGCACACTGGCCCTGCTGGGGAGAGTGGGCAACTGAGGAACATGCTGGGGCCAGGGTTGCCACCAGCTAGCCTGAGCCAGGGAAACTATTCAACTTTTTTTTTTTTTCCCAACAAAAACAATGACAATTTTCTGTCCATTGTCATTTCCTAAGAACGCTTACGGGACAAAGTCTGAGCTGCAGTAAACAGCCTGGGAGCCAAAGTCCTCTGGCTCCAGCGAGCACGTTAGGCATGATTCATCTGGTGAACATTCTCTTTCTAAAGAGGGAAGGCCAGGTTAAACAAGGGTTTGCACAAAGCTCTCTTCCTGTGACAAACAAAAGCCTGGGCTGGGCCAGCCATCAGTCCAGGCTCAGGAGAGGTCCCTAACCAAGTTCCTATGTGGCTCCCATGAGACCCTCCCAGATGGGGCTTGGGGAAGATCTGATGATGATGGTGATGATGATGATATGGTGTTCTTCCAGAAATGCCTAAAATGTGCCAGTAGAGTCTTCCCTGGGAAGTAATATTGTCCTGGCAAAGCAATGGTATCAGGAGGCCTTTAAGTCTCAATCAGAATAGGAAGGAGAAGGTACCTTTGGGAATAAATGAAGCACCGTGGGCCCCAAAGAGAGCCAACATGCAAATCATGGCCTAAAGACGACCCAGGAGGGAATGGAGCTCAGGACCAAAGAGGGGACACAGAGAGGAGGCAGCAGAGGGACCGGCAGCACCATGATCCAGGCATCCATAGTGGCAACGCCAAGCAGCAATGGCCCTCCTGTGCTCAGCGGTTACACGAAGGCCCAGATCAGTGCCAAGCAGGTGGTCTACTGGGTAGGCAGGGTATGAAGGAGACATTTCCTGCCTGATCTTGTCAGCCAGGCTCACATCTCAGACCAATCCCCATCCCACCTTAAATTGCAATCCACATCCTTCTCAGGAAACAAGAAACCCCTCAGTCTGCACAATGCTTTCTTTGCCATGATTTGTATCACCTATGTCTTGCTCTATGATTTGGGGATTATGTCCATTGTTTGTTGGCTACACTCTCACCCCTCATTTGGAATATGCATCAGCTGCAGGAGGGCAGGGAATTTTTTGTTGCTCCCTGATCTCCCCCTAGCACCTCAAGCAGTGCCTGGCACACAGCAGGTGTCCACAGTACTTGTTGAATGCAGAAGTGAATGAACGGTAGGATAGAGTCACCCAGCTGACTTGGACCCGGACTGGCCCAGCTGGTGGTCTACACCATGATTTGCTGCATAAGCCACGCAGCTTTTCCTGCATCGACACAGATGCAGCCCCTCTGTCCAAACATGGTGCTCCCTCTGTCATTGATGGGAACCAGATGGAGTCTCGCCTGTAACATGACTGAGCACTGATTTCAGTAACGTAAGTGAATTACCAAAATGTAGTCATTATAATCTATCTTCATCTTAGTGACACACTTGGCCGGCTGCTATAAACCAGGGCTTGAAGAGTGAATGTGAATTTACAGACCTCTCAGCTCTGCCCACAAGACCCAAATTTGGCAGAATTGTCATCTCTATTGAACTGTTACAACTTAATGATGAGCTCTTCTACCCCCAGATTTACCCGTAATATGTGGTAACCCAGTTATAGGAGCTGTCTGATAATTCATCCTAGTACATCAGATTTGGAAAGACCTTTAGGGTCATCTAAACAAATTCCATCTGCTTGAAACAAATGCCACTAAATCACAGCTACCACTCTTCCAAGACTGGGCCAAAGCCCAGCTCACACAACTCATCCCACTCAAACAACAGTCCCACACACAAAATGAAGTGTCCACTCCTAAAGCTGAGTCAGCCCTGAAAGGTCCGAGGGCTTGAGCGACCTAGCTCAGGCATGACAAGTGACTTTCAGAACTGTTACTCAAACTGAAGAGTGTCTGACTCCAACCCAGCACTCCCAACCATTATGCTCACCACAGACTCTGAATTCTGGAGAAAATTGTCAATAGAGATGTAGAGTATTGGTGACTCATAGGTCCTTGACACCTGCACTCACCAATCTTAACAACATTAAAAGCGAGAAGGCCAGACATTGTTGCTTCCTGATGTGATGAAGGTACAGCAGGAAGTGCACAGCATTCATACAAAGTGGCTCTGCAAAAAAATAAAAAATAAAAAAATACGTGAGTTTAATCAAGCATTGGATATTAACCCCCTGTAAGAGACGTGGAAGATAAATCTTCAAGAAGAGGGCATTTAGCTAAATCCAGAACATAATCCACTCTACAGAAAAATGACCCATGACCAAGTTTTTTCAACAAATAAATGCATTTAAAAAAACAGGGAGATGTATTACAGATTAAAAGAGACCTAAGAGACACCTCACCCAACCACAGTGCGTGGACCTTGTCTGCATCCTGAATCCAGCAAAGCACCTGCAAAAGGACAATGATTTTTATATTTAGCTGAGATTCATTTATGATGACTGCAGTATACTATTCCATTCTATACCTTTTTCCTTTTTTTATTTTTGTAGATTTAGGGGGTACAAGTACAGTTTTGTTACGTGGATAGATTTCATAGTCGTGAGGCCTGGGCTTTTGGTGTAATCATCACTTGATTAGTATACATTGTACCTGTTAAGTAATTTCTCATCCCCCCCTTGCCCTCCCAACCTCCCCCCTTTCTGAGTCTCCAATGTCTGTTATTCCACACTCTATGTCCATGTGAACACATTATTTAGCTCCCACTTATAAATGAGAACACACAGTATTTGACTTTCTGTTTCTGAGTTGTTTCACTTGAGATAATGGCCTCCAGTTCTGCACATGTTACTGCAAAAGACATGATTTCATTCTTTTTTATGGCTGAGTAGTATTCTAGGGTGTGTGTGTGTGTGTGTGTGTGTGTGTATTATACACATTATATATATATAAAACTTACATGTTATATATATACACCAATACCAATATGGTGTGTGCGTGTGTGTGTGTGTGTGTGTATATATATATACTTCTAGAATTTGCTTCAAAATACTCCAGGAAAAATAAAACATAGAGTAAAGGGGTAGATGAAGTAAGAATAGCTAAGTGCTGATCATTATTGAAGCTAGGATATGAACAAGTGAGGTTTCATTCATATTAAGTATACTTCTACATATGCTTAATATTTTCCATAACAAAGTTAAATTTAAAAAGAAGTAATGACACCCAGGAATAGAATCTTAAACACCAAAGCAACATTGTACTTTATATGGAAATGGTCACGCTCTCCCTTTGAAAAGCTTTCTCATCACGGGAGATAAAGTTACCAACTTAGAGAAACGGAAGGATCTCAGTGAGAGACTCCCCAGGAATATACCACAGAAAGCAAAAGCATAATGGCTAAGAGATAAAACTATGGAAAATTTAAGAAAAGATGTATGTTTTTAAATACTAGTGAAACATTTAAATATACATAATGAACTGGTAAAATATAAAGTACATGTCAAAAAATCTTAACATTATCATTACATTAAAAATTTCATAATCCTATAAGAAAAAATAGACTATTCCCTCCAAACGGGCAAAAGATATGAGCAGAAAGTTTGTGGGGGGGAAAGGAAAGGTATAAAGACAGTGAATATGCATAAGGGAAAAAACAAGCACAGGTTCACTTGTAATAAAATCAGCACATATTTAAAAAGAACATCAAGGTCTACACATTATTGACAAGATGAGCTCATTGGAGAACATCGCATAGTCCCGCTGTGGCTGAAGGGAAACTGTTCTTCCGCCACACTGCTGGTTCACACTCGCTATTTATATGTAGCAAAAGCTCATTAATGCCCTTTGTTTCAGCAGTTCTTCTTACAACTATTTATTCATGAGAAGTAAAAACAAACAAAGGTTTGTCTTACCTACAACAGTAAGTACAGGCAGTTTCTTCTGGCGCTATGTAAAAATTCGTGCATGATAGAAGATGATGAACCCTTGGCTTGAAGTCAGAGGCCTGAATCCTGATGCTGGCCTACTTTTAGGACTTGGTTTCTTCTTATCCTATGGGCTAAAAGTTAGCACTTAAGTCTACAGCTACTGAAAAACTGGAATAGATCTAAAAGACAAAGTGTTTATTTTTGCTAATATATATAAGCTACCTATTAAAAACCTGCCTATTCAGTAGATACCATTTTGCGCATCAGACTAAAATAATAAAAATAATGATCTTCTTCAGTCTTGAGTCTTGAATCTCAGAATCTTCATCTGTATGGTGAACTCACTGGGATAGTTTTAGAAAACACATCCGTTGGCCAATACTCTGAGTTCTAGTCCAACATGAAAAGCATATCCTTGTGTTATCCAAGTCATAAAAGTAGAGCCAGTTTCCCTAAGATGTATTCTTGGAATTTTCCAGAAGATTAATTCTTCTCAAGCCTTAGATTGCTACAGGATTGACCTCGTGGGCTAACATCCATAAGAGGACATTACCAGTTGAGAACCCACGGACTTACAGGTGAAACTGACTGCAGCTTGCTTCTATCTGAATTTCCCCTGAGGTGAACAAATCTGTGCCAGTAGGAGTTGCCCAAGTCTCCATTCTAGAGCAACAGGGCTGTTTTGAGTACAGTTATGAAGGAGGAAAAGCAGCTCCATGCCTCCATGGAAACCCAGCCTGAAGATCTCAAGATCCTGGTCCCCGAAGAAGCAGATCCCTGGCACCAAACCCCACACTGTACAGCCCATCTAAAGGTCAACGGCACCTGTGCAAGAGATATTAAGGAGGAGCAACGATAAACAAAATCAGAGCATCTATGAGCTTACTCCAGTGGCGAATTTGAGGAAAAGCTTTGGCGTTATCCAGCTTAAAATTGAAGTCAAATGCTGCAGCGTTTCCAGAAACATGAGGCACTGGTTTGTCCCCAGGACAGGAAATACTGATGTTGACTTTCATGATGGAAACAATGACTTCTGCCCACTCTCCACCCTCCTTTCTTACACTTAGAAAATTTGGCATTAAAATGAAAGGCAAACCAAAAAAGAAATGGAAGGTGACAACCAGAGAAAAGACCATGTCAGCAAAATCCCAGCTCCAAGTCCTGAGCCCTGATACTGAAGATGCATTCACAGTTTGACACAGAGGGTGGTATTAGGATCTAGGAACAGATCGGGGAAAATTTGAGTAAAGGAAGCACCTGACCAGGAGAGCCAGGCTGCACTTGGAATCACTGGGGAAGGAGAATCTTGGTTACATTTGCTTACCAGGATTACCCTCCTGTGGGTTAATCAATCCTAATAGGATGCTGAAGGGTTTTTTTTAAATTTTCAATTCAGAGGCCCATTTTTAAAAATATGCTCACTGTTGGTTAAGGCACACAGCTGATTTTATTAATATATATAAGGATCCATGTCTAAAGAACTCAAAGTTCTTATTAAACTCATAACTACTAAATTAACAGGCACATATACAACATAAACATTCTCAAATACAGGACTGTGTCATGTTTAAAACCCTACTTGTTCACTGAGCACCATTTTATGCAAAACTATCTGAGAAAACAGCTGCCAATTAATATTGGAATAAGATAAAGTCAACCTATGCCAATGAATGGAGCAATATTGGAACCTATTTTCCAGAACTAACTTGATCATTCAACAAAAAATTCTGGCAGGAAAAAAGAAGAATATATACATACACACACACATATACAGGTTCTTTTCAGAAAACGTCTCAGAAATGTGGTCCTCATCATGTGAACGCAGTGTTCATATGTGTGCTGCCTGATTTGACTCTCAGCTTTCTGTCATTGCATTGGTGTTTGGGGGGTTTTGTTCTCATAGTACAGAAAAACTTTCAACAGTTAAATGTGTGCAAAATAAAATGCAAACAGCACAACTCAATTACTTTCCTTCAAACTGATGGCATGTTTCTCAGTGTCTGTCAGTTGTTTTACAGAAACTTTTCTATCAAAATCATCTGCAAAGAATTGAAATTACCCTTTCAACATTTGTTTTCCAAAATCCCTGCTCTGTTTTCTCTTTGAAATTCAAAATTACTAATATACCATACTGCAAATATAAGTGCCTTTCTCCAGAAAGCTCTAGTGGCCAAGTAGAAATGTTTCCCTTCGGATCAAGGAAATGGTATTTTGTGATTAAATTAGTTTGAGCAACACAGTTCTGGGTGTTTTATATCACAGAGCTGTGATTTTCTAGCAGATGGCTTTGACATTTTTATACTGAGGCAAGTTTTAGTTTTCCAACCTCAGTTAAAATCTTTAAAACGTTTGCTTTAGAAGGAATTACTACACAATGGGAAAAGAACCATATGCAATACCTTATCATTTAGGAAAAATATTCCATTTTGAAACTGGATTTCATTATGGCCTGTTTTGTGTAAGTAGGCTGCAGGTTTAGTTGCTACACACATTGTTAGGGCCCTGCAAGCGTCTGTTTTTCGTTACCCTCCCCACACAACCCGGCCCTCTGAACCCCGGTGCCTGCATCTGTGCGCATACATGCTGTGATTCATTACAATAACAGGAATCTGCTGCTGTTATGATTGAGATAAATCAGCTTTGTGGTCTGGGCAGCCATTCTGATAACCATGGCTCCACCTCAAATTTGCTGCCTGGTCTTTAGCCATCTGCAATACAGGCTGGTCGACGAAGTAGACACACAGATACTATATTTTCTTAGGAATTCGAATAAAATAGATACTGTGGGCCAGAAATTTAATTAACACCTTTCCCTACATTAACTAATTTAATCCTCACAACATCTTTAGTGGTTAACTCCTTCTCTTATCTGCCTTAGGTATACTAAGGGATTGCTTGCCCACAGCACCCCAGTTGGTGTGCAGCTCAACTTGATCCCTGGGTCCCAGCTCTGAACAGCTGTTATGACATGCTGTCACCTTGCCATCTTGGCTCCAGGGTGAGGACTGGAGTCCCCCACTGTTCATTTCTGTAGTGGGTCCTGAAGGGAAGAAGAACCAGACTTGGTCATCCACACTCTCCCCAGCCCAATCACCTGTCTGCACCTTGGGGCTGGATACATCACTGGCCATGGCATAGACTGGTCTCTTGGCAAAGCTGAGGGGAGGTTAGCCAACCTGGAGTCTTCTACCTAGTCAGCTCCCACTAACAATGGTAACTGTGACTTCTCTCTCTCTTCTTTCTTACATCCTGTTTTCTTTCTCTTTCTTTTGTTTTTTGTATTTTTGTTTTGTTTTGTTTGTTTGTTTGTTTTGAAACAGGGTCTCACTTTGCCACATAGGCTAGAGTGCAGTGGCATGATCACAGCTCCCTGCAGCCTCTACCTCCTGGGCTCAAACAATCCTCCTGACTCAGCCTCCTGAGTAGCTGGGACTACAGGGGCATGCCACCACACCAGCTAATTTTTTTTTTTTTTTAGATATGGGGTCTCACTATGTTGCCCAGGCTGCTCTCAAACATCTGGACTCAAACAATCCTCCCACCTCAACCTCCCAAATGTTGGGATTACAAGCATGAGTCACCACACCTTGCCTCTTCCAGATAGTTTTATATTTGCTTCCACAGCAGAGAATTTTAATATTTTCCTTTGTGTAGCACAACTGAAAAATTTACTGTTTATCTAAAATTCAAATTTATCTGGGCATCTTGGTTTTATTTGCTCACTCTGGTCGCCCTAACTAGGTGATTGCCAACGCAGAATGCATCGGACTCCTTAAATAGCAGGACAAGGTCACAAAGGTGGAGGGCCTGGTCCCCGGTGCTCCCCGACTTCTCCTAGTGCCCCTTCCCTGACTGGCATCCCACATGGAGTCCGCCCGTCACTCCTGCTCACCTGACCTAAGACCGTGGCCATCCCTTTGCCGCCAGCCAGTCTCGCTCGGATGTCCCTGCTACATGAGCTCTTCCCTGCCTCCCCCGTCTTGCACACCCTATATGTTCATTTATTTTATATTTATATATTTCATCCCACCCAATTAGACATCAGGGACCTGGATTGCCCAGGGCACTGCGGCAGCCCCATCTAGCACATGGTCGGCTTCCTGTTAGCAGCTGTGAATGGATGAATCCTCCAGGAAACCTTAGCATTCCTTGACACACTAACAAGGCTTCTGACACATGGTGCCTAACGAGGGATGTTCCAGTGGTCTGACCAGGTGTGAAGTGCCTCAAGCCATGCCAAGAACTCCTTGGACAGCACGCTGACACTGCACATCACTCTCCCTCTCAACTCCAGGGCCAACTGGCAGCTTCTATGTCACTTACCACAGTTGCCTTGCAGTTCGTTGCATGTCTTTGTTATCTGCCAGGCCAGACTGAGTTCACACAGAGCAGAAACCACTTCCCCGTGCCTTTCACCTCGTTGAGTGAGCATCCAAGAAGCACAGACTCTGTGGTGGGGGTTGCATTGTACACATGTTCAAGCACTCACACGCTCCTCGGAGCTCTGCCCAGGCCAGAATGGCCAGCATCGGGTCATGGCGGATGGAGCCTCACAGACACTGTGCAGACGCAGTGGAGACGTGGCAGTCAGGATGGAGCACTCATCCCCATGGGGCTTGATGCTGTAAGCCAGCTGCGAGGGTAGGAAGCAGGAGCTTAGCTGGAGTTGCCACCAAAGTGAGGCGCGTTTTCATTGGTGAGGCCGAGTTTGACAACAGGACAGAAGAGTAACCAGAGAAGGGTAATGTAGTTCTTGTATTTCCCGGGCCTCTCAAAACTATCTGAAGAGCTACTTTTTGCCAGGTGCTCTACTAATCACTAAAATACAGATGAATAGATGTGACCCTAACCTTGGGGGGCTTGTGATTTTCTCCCACACTCCTCTCAGCTATCACCTTGTGAAGGATGAAGATACACATCCTTTATCACTTTGGCTGCCTGGAGCCTACTAGAGAATTGGCCTCAGTAAGATCATTGTTATTGCTCCATGTTCCTCTAAGAGAAGGGACTAGAACAAAAGGGAAAGACTCAGAAAAGGAATTGGGCAAAATCATATAAGCAAGAAGCTTTCAGCAGCCTAAATTCTCCAGCAGTGGAGTGGGCCTTCCTTTGGGAGGATGCATTTCCTTTTTCTGAATGTGGCCAAGCACGGGTTGGGCCACCTCCTAACAAGAACCCTGTGGAGGAAACTCAGGCACGTCCGCCATGCCTCTCAGGCCTCTTGTGACCCAGGAGGCTCCATGATCCCTTGGTGGTGGTGTGGCTGTTTTCAGAGTCTTTTCAAGAACTCTGTATTAGCATTCTCCAGAGAAACAGAATAATAAGATAGAGAAAGAGATATCTATATATAGATACAGATAAAACGAGATTGATTATGGGAATCGGCTCATGGGATTGTGGATGCTGAGAGATCCTACGATCTGCCCTCGGCACCCTGGAGCCCAGGAAAGCCAGTGGTGTGATGCAGCCCAAACCTGAAGGCCTGAGAATCAAGAAAGCCAACAGTGTAGGTTCAAGTCTGAGTCTGCAGGTCTGAGAACCAGGAGTGCTGGCATCCGCAGGCAGGAGAACAGAGGCAACCCAGCCCAAGGAGAGAAAGAGAGAATTTTCCCTTCTGCCTTTCAGTTCTATCTGGGCCCTCAATAGATTGCATGGTGCCCAAACACATGGGTGAGGGCGGGCCTTCTTACCCAGTCTGCTGATTCAAACGCTCATCTCTTCTGGAAACACCCTCATGGGCACACCCAGAAATAATGTCTGACCAGTTGTCTGCATCCTTAAACTGGTCAGGTCGACACATAAAATCAACCCTCACAGTACGGATGATACTAGGTGATTCCCATAACATTTATTAATTATTCTGCAAAAGAGTCAGGAATGTGGATCCTTGGTCTTTCTGATGATCAAAATCTTTATTCACTGACACTGTACCTAGCAAGAAAACATTATCTAACAATCTGTCCCCTCCTCTGGCTCAGCTTTTCACCCTGCTCTGCCCTCCGCCTGCATCTGATATCTCTGTAGAGGGACTCCATTCCCTCACAATCCATATCCACGCAATGGGAAAACCCACAGGAGCAGGATAAGGGGACAGAT